CCCCAAAACCCCAAAACCCCAAAACCCCAAAACCCCAAATTTGGAAAATAGGGAAAATAATAAATATTAAAAATGTCGAAGTTCTTTGGAGCAATTGATGATGAGGGGAGTAGTTCATCAGATTCTAGTAGTGAGGAGTCTGAAGAGGTTGAAGAGGTCAAGACAGAAGTTAAGTCGAAGAAGACTAAGAGAGAGACAATCCGTATGAGCGATAGTGATGATGATGAGAAGGAAGAAAGAAAGATACTCTCGCCTGAGAAAAAATTGAGGAATAACTTAAGGAAGGCAAGTGAGGGCCTTGGACAACTCTTAAAAGATAAAGAGTTCGCAGCCTTGCATACTATGTGGAATTCCTTCACTGAAGAGATTAATAAGAATTCAGCCCTAATCAAGCAATATGGTATTCCAAATATGATGTTAAACACTCTAATGAAGTATGAAGATATTATTAACAGCACCAAAAAACAAGATGAGAAGAACATGACTAAGAACAATAAGAAGAACTTTGGTACTCTCAAGAATAAGGTGACAAAATACCTGAAGAACAAGTACGTCAAAGAGCTTGCAGCCTACAAGGAAGACCCCGTAGAATCTGAGCCTGAAGAGGAAGAGAAAGCTGTAGGCTCTGAAGACGAATCCGATGAGGAAGACTCCGATGAAGAAGAGGAGGAAGAAAGCGAATCCGAATCTTCAGGAGATGAAGATAATCAGAAGAAAACCACCACTAAGAAACAGGACGACTCTGATGAAGACGACATCAACTGGGATGACTCCGACTCAGACGATGACGATAGTGATGAAGAAGAAAAGGAAGATAAAGCTGCAAGACTTACTCTTGAAGAAAGAAGGAAGAAATGGATGAAATCTCCTGAAGAAATCAAAGCTATGAGGGAAGGAAGAAACCTTGATGATGACAAAAAGAAACAGAGAAAGATTAGGGAGGTTAAGAAGGAAGAAGAAGACGAGGGTGAAGGAAAGCAAGAGAAGGAATTCAGAGATATCAAGCACACTAAAGAGATCATCATGGAACTTGATTTCTCTGATGAAGCTGTTGCTAAAGAAAATCTGAAGAAAATGAAGAAGTTCTCTGAAGAAATCCAAGAGCTTATTTTGAATAAATTGCAGAAAGAATCTAAGAATAAAACTTTCCTAGTTGAAGCTTTGTACCTCTATATTTCAGGAGCTTTTGCAGTCGAGAAAGGACATATTGACTCTTTCTTTGATAGACAAAAACTTGTGAGCATTATCCAGTATATCAATGATCTCTTTGATTTGATTGATCAAAATGTGCCAATGAGTGAAAAGAGAAAGGGAAAGCTCCATATGTTTAAATTCTTTGATAATGTTAATAAGGAGCTTCATACAGCTTTCCAGAGACTTTCTCCTCAGAATCTTGAATACATTAAGAGACTTCAAGATGAACACAAGCTCCTTCATCTTGGCGAAAGAGTTCTGAAATACTACAAAGATAAAGAAGATGATTCTAATGCTGCCAAGACATCATTGATTCTTTTGGACCATTTATATGCCAAGCATAGTTCAATCTATGCTAAAATGCAGAAGATAGTAGACCAAAAGCCAGAGGAAGAGAAAGCTAAGTTCTACATCTTGAAGCCAGGACAAACTCAAGCTAAGATTGATGATTTAGTCAATACTGTATTTGAAGAGGGTTATAACAGAGCTTTCAGAATCAAAGCTACTCTTTATAAGATCTATCACCATGCAATCCATGATGAATTCTTTTACGCCAGAAACTTAATGTCAACATCTCAGATCAGTGGAAAGATCAACAAGCAGGATGAGGATACCCAGATCTTGTATAACAGAACTATTGTCCAAATTGGCCTCTCTGCTTTCAGATGTGGACTTTTCAAGGAATGATTTGATCTCTCCAAAGGAATCGCAAATTATGGTCGCTTAAAGGATCTTCTTGGCCAAAGAGTTAAGAATAATGTAACTGAGAAGCAGATCAGAAAAGAGAAACTTAGATATATTCCATTCCACCTCCATATTGACTACGAACTGGCTGATTTCTCCCATATGGTGTGTGCAATGCTGCTGGATATCCAAAATATCGTTAGTAGACCATTCAGAAAGCTAGTTGACTCTGCAGATAAAGCCTTGTTTAATGGACCTCCAGAGCAAACAAGAGATTATGTGATTTATGCTTTTAGATCTTTGTACCACGGTGAATGGAAGAAAGCTATTGAATACCTCTTCTCAGCCTCCAAGGTCTGGAAACTAATTCCAGAGGCAGATAGAGTCAAAAACTTTCTAGTAAAGGAAGTTAAAGAAGTTGCCTTAAAGATCCTGATGTTCAGAAACTCTAGCTCTTATGAAAGCTACTCTATCTCAGATCTTGGAAACCTTTTCGAGCTCACTGAGGAAGAAGTTCATAGAATTGTCAGTAAGATCATAATCAGAGAAAGATGTGATGTCAGCATCAAGAAGGAGGAAAATGTTGTTCAAATTAACGAAACTCCTAAGAGTGATACTCAAACTTTTATCGATATCCTTGTCGACAAAGTTAGATCTGTCTCCGACTATAACAACAAAATTTTGAGAGGTTCTTCGAGACAAAACAGAGATCGTACTGAGTCAGACTCTCACACCAAACCAAAGGAGGAGCCAAACGAAAATGGCGAGGAAAACATTGTGACTTAAAACACTATAAATGGATAAAAGCACTCAATAAATATTCCAAAACTAGGGGTTTTGGGGTTTTGGGGTTTTGGGGTTTTGGGGTTTTGGGG